ATATATATATATATATAATTATCCAATTATATATTATTATTAATACGCAATATCTTTTTAAATCACATCAATGTTGTATAGCAATATTAATTTTCAATTTATATAGCTAAAATCCTAAATTCAATCATTAAATTATTAAAACTTCAATCTATTTTAGCTATTTAGAACAGCATAAAATGGTTTTATTATTCGATCCATTATCGTGAATCAAACACAACGAACAAGTAAGTGCAAAGAAGAAAACTCCATTGTTAAAATAAATAAAATAAAATTTATGTTTGTAAAGTAAGAAGTTATTACATTTTCGTTAAACTCAAGAAAAAAAAATGAATAAGATAAGGTCACACCACATCAAAACAAGGAGAATTTCCGTTAATTTTTTTTTTTTTTTAAACTAAGCAAAAACAAAATCGTCTTTTCATCTTTACACTGCTTCAATAACGTAGTTTTTTGAATTTTATATTTTATTTAAAAAGGAATTGACATTTATTTTATGTTTGCTGTAAGCAGATGGCGCCACGAAAGAAAAAAGATCTTAAAAAAACATGAAAAAACTCATTAGCAGTGGCGTGCAAAGAAAAGAATCGCCACTGTGGACATTCATTTGACCATTAAGAACAATAAAATCTTTATATCAACTATTTTTAATAGATAATTTAATTTTTAAAGGAAAGATGGTTGATTTAATAAAATTATTTTATAAGCAATAAACTATGATGTCATTATAATAAAAATAATTAAATGTATTTTATATTGGAAGAAAACTTAGGAATATTTTTTGGAATAAATTTTTTTCCATAAGAGAAATCCCGCTGATCTTTACATAAAAATAAATATACTATAATGCTCAATAAAAAAAAATAAAGCAAATAAACAATTATAAACACAGAAAAAAAATGCCTTTTTAATTCAGAGTAAGAAATAAAAAACATTGGAAAACTATTCCTTTTTCAGTTTTTAATAAGATTAAATTTTTTTCTTCAGTTTTTATTTTCTTTACCATTTTTAGGGCATTCTTTAGTTAAAATTTAAACAAAAAGGAACAATGCACATACTTAATTTAAATTCATTTTTTGTGTAACTGAATGTGGAAATCAATATTTTCCAACAAAATGTTACCACATTTCCCTAAATATTAACCATATTAAAATTTTAATGACTCAGCAATTCAATTGAAAAAAATTATTTTTTAGATATAAGTAAAACATTTCGCTTAAGCTAATAATATTTACCTTATAAAGAAATTGTGTTTCCTTACAAAAATAGTACTAGCAACTCGTAAAAGATTTAGCGTTTTAGTGTACAAAATTGACCAAGAAAACAAAGCTAAAAAAGAAAAATGGACCACCATAAATAACATTTTAACCAAAAATCTTATCTTATACGTTCTATGACTCATTCTTAAAGGTTCGAGGGAGTAACCTCAAATGCGTTAATAAGTGCAGACGATAATTTTTTTCAACAAATTCGAATTTCTGGCCTCTAGAACTTAGGGGGCAACCGCAATCGAATTTTAAAAACGATATATTGTTAAAATTTGATTTCTCAGGAACTATTCAAACGATTTCACCCAAATTTTGTAGTTTGCTACGTCAAATTGCTTACTTTTAAACGACGTAAAAATTCGCAGACTTTATAATTCAAAATTGTTTCGACTATTATTATATAAAATACTTAAAAAATAATAAATATTTACTAAAATTTTATAAGCGAATTTTATAATGGTGAGAAAATTTTTTTCAATTCGCTTAAAAAGATATGACGAAATATGCGCAAAAAGTATTATTAACATTAAGGGGTTCAAACTTTGGATCGCTATCCTAACCAATCTAATGGGACCTTATTTCCCAGATTGCAATCTCCTACATCTAGTGGGTGAGAAATCGGAATCCGTTGAAGAAATTGTATGTTTATTCAGAGAAAGCACGTTTTTCCGTCTGATTTAGCAACTTAATATATCGTCTGCACCCATTAATTAGCATATTTTAGGTCACCACCTCGAATTATTAAGATTGAATCATAGAACGTTTAAATTGGATCATTAGATCAAAAATTATTTAAGGTTATCCGTTTTTTTTTCCCCTTCTGCTCACTGTAAATTAATTTTTTTTTTTTGACCGGATACTTTAGACCAGAGGTCGCCAAAGTGGTCTATATAGACCCCCAGGGGTCTATTTAACATAAGCGGGGGTCGATCTTAGCCAGGGGGTCGAATGGGGGTCGATCCGAACCGGAAGGGTCGATTGGTCGAAGGATTATCAGTATTTTTCAGATCTGTGACAATTAGAAATAAAAGAAGAAGACTTGGAAATATATACAGGTAATCTTCAAAAATTGAGCGACGANAAAAAATAAGCTAACAATTAATAATCAGCAAAAAACTAGTTAACAAGAAATCGCAAAAAATAACAGTTAATATTTAAAGAAAACAAGCTAACAATTAATAACTAGCAAAAAAAATAATAACTGTTACTAACTAACTAAAAATTAGTCGAAAGAAATAATTGATCCCTTATAAACGTGCTCTTGTAATACGTATTATTTTATTTCGCATTCAAAATTATTATCACAAACTATTTAACACTGTGTATTATAGTTAAGTAAACAACTTTTAAACTAATTTTTTTCATTGTGTGCCGTCAAATTTCGAAATCGTTAAAAGTGTGCCGCCCCCCAAAAAAGGTTGAGAATCACTGCTTTAGACTGTTGCTCCCTTCGCTCCCTCCCTGCACGCCACTGTGTAAGCCTTTAAAAATAAAAATAAAAATGGAGTTGGTTCATTACACATATAAAGGCCTTTACGTGTTGCTAAACTAGAGAACCACCATCTTCGGTACTAAATCTAAATGATGCGCTTTAATATTTATATATAAGAGAAATAATTAAAAACTCTCAAGGTCATAAGAAAACGGTAGTGTCTACATCTAGTGGAGGAAATATCAAATACATGTCTTTCTAATTTAAGGTATTTTGAATTGAAAATCTGGAAACTATATCTTATATTTGAATTCAACAGGGAGGGGGGGGGTGGCAACATGTACGCAAAACGAGTCTAATATTAAAAATAAAATCGCATATTTTTATTACTTTTATTTAAATTTTATTTTAAAATCTGATAATAAAATTGCGTCGAATTAATGTATCCTATGTTATCATTAGATTGACATATTGACGCATATTAAATTGACGCAATCTATAATTTCATTTCAATTTAATTTCGATGGTAAATAATAAAGACATTAATATGTTCATAGATTAAGTTTTGAGGAGGAAATTTTCTAAGGGCTGAAAAAATTTTAAAATAATCTGATCACATAAAAGGATCTATCCAAATATAAGGTTGCGGTGGGGGTGGGGGGGGGAGAATATTAGTGATTTACTATAAAACGGAAAGGAAGGAAGAAAGATTTTGCTTCCGACACCGAAGTAAAAAATTTCAAATTGATTATGTATCATGTTTTACAAATTAAGAACTTCATACAATTCTTTATTTAAATGTCGGCTTAAAAAGTCAGTGAAGTTTACATTTAATTTACAAACAAATTCATTGTAATTCACAATTTGTAAATGAGTAATCATTTTTTACTTTCGTGTGATTTACGTCCGACATTAACGATTTGATCCATTTAACTTATTTTAATCAGTTTTTATAAAACAAATTGTTTTCTGATGGGTAATGATGTACTAAAAATTCCTTAAATATTTTAATTTCAAATGAGGAGAAAAGCAAAAAAGAATAAAATAACATTTTAAATAAAATTCTTTAAAATATTGACATTTTTTCTATCCTACCATTCACACTTCATGAAAAAAAACAACACTCTGACCTGAAAATTTTAAGTTTTTTACCTAGTAAAACAGGACATTTGAAATCTGATTTGAGTGGCCACCCTGTAATGTTGCATATTTACAATGTCAAACAATGTATGGGAAATACAATTCAGCGTATATACAATTCAGTGTCAAACAATATATGGGAAACAATACCTCATTTGTCTAAATAGTTACCTTTTTCACCCTCAGTAAGTTGTAGGCTTACTGAGAGGACTTACTTTCACCTCAGAGGAGGGGGGCAATCTTCAGAGCTCAACGAGGACATATTGGGGCACAAAACACAATGTTTAAATCATTTTTCTGATACCCCCTAATTACTTCCATATTGAACCTTTTTTTTTAAATTTATTTTTCAACTATCCTGATGAACGACAAACGTATTAAAAAATAAATAAAATTGGCTAGAAATTATAGATCACCAAAACAAACTTTTAAAAAATATATCAATCACCCCCCCCCCTCCAAATTAAAAAATACGTTCCCTTCCTTTGAATTAACATCAATGTTTCACGAGTGTGCATTCGCATGCGAAAATGTCATCAAAGTGATTCGTTATCTATTTTACGTAATGGCTGGTAAAAATATTAGTTATAAGTGATTTTAAATACGTTATCTCTGCAAACTACTGTTTTCTGTATCGTACTACTCACTACACTACTTTTTTTTAATAAAAAAAATAAATAAAATAATAAATTTTTAAAAAAATTTTAATTTTAGAAAAATTAAAAAAAAAATTTTTTTAATTTTAAATAATTTTAAAATAATTTTATAATAATCTTATAATAATTTTATGATAATTTTAAAATAATTTTATAATACTTTTATAATAATTTTATAATAATTTTATAATAATTTTAAAATAATTTTATAATAATTTTACAATAATTTTATAATAATTTTAAAATAATTTTAAAGAAATTTTAATTAATTTTAAAAAACTTTTTAACAGAATTTTAATTTTTTTTTGAAGAATAGCACACAACATTACAAATTGCTACAAAAAGTATCGACTACAGTTGTTTTATTACTTGCAGTGCGCTATTTCTCACTACAGTTTAGGGAATCATTTCGTCTACGTGATTCTTCACAAAAAGAAACTGAGTATACAGAAGCCGCAGCTCATTCGAATTTGGAAATACTCTGAATACTAAACTCAATCCAGCGATAAATCACGTTTGCGCAATCTCCCCTATAAATGAGTTCTCATCGTTTAAAAGCTCCAAACGATATGCAAATTTCACTCTTTTATGAAAGTTAACATCAAAAAGGCATTATTTAGAAGTGATTTCGTGAAAAGAACGATGTTTTTTCATTCAATTTGAGTTATCTCTCCCTTTTTTTTTCTTCTTTTTTTTATCTGTGTTAATAGCTCTTCAATCATTTACTAAATGAAGGAGGAAGTGTTTCCCATGGGGAAAACACTTAAAAAAGCTCTTTGACCGAATCAGTTAGAAAGATGAACTTCTACTGGCGATGTTTACTTATTTTATTATTCGGCTCGCAATGGACGACATCGTCGGATTCAGGTAAAGAAAATTTGCTTGGAATATGAATATAAATTATCTATATATAATTTTTTAAATGAAAGGCTTTTTTTTTTCCTCTGCATCTTGTATTTTAGACAAAATTTCTGATTTTTGTATTCTTGATTTTTTTTCTTTCAGTTTATTTATTTATTTTTTCTGATTTCACTGTTATTTTTAAACTAGTTTTATTAAGAAACTTTCTGCATTGCCTACTCGCAATTTAGGCAAATTATTTGATTTTTGTTTTCTTGGTGTATTGTTTTTGTTTGTTTGCTTTATTTATGTTTTATTATAAAATATCATTTCTAAAGAGAATAAATTAGGAAACTTTTTTCCTTGTCGATCTTAAATAAGCGGCGATGCTAGGTGGGTTGTCGAAAAATGTTTGATTTTCGTTTTCTTGATCTTTTTTGTTTTTGTTTTATTTATTTAACACTTTCTATTAATTTACTTTTTTTAATTAGTTTTCGCATTTTTGATAATAGTAAATCATCCAACGGAGGAATTCCTTAAGATTTGAGGAAAAGGACGAAAATAAAACTTAAAGTGAAAGAATGATTGATAACTTTTAAAACAGTTGTATAAAAAAAACTTACAAGTCATAGAATAATTATGATTCTTTTATTGCAGCTAAAAAATATTCGCATGTTTCAGTAAAATATATAAAAAAAATATGCAGGTCCATCAAAAGTTATAATATTCTTGTAGTGGCGGGAAAATATTCATACATTTTTGTTCAAATGTGTAAAAAACAATATATGAGGAATTTAAAACAAATAGAATATTTTACATTTTTGTAAAATGTCGCGTAGTTATTTCAACCAATTTTTTTAGAACTGGTACACGAAAATAAATTTTTTTAGAAGTTAAAAATAATTACGAATCCTTTAAAATAAAATCTGAATGTTTTATATTGATTAAATATGGAGGTGTTGAAAGGAAAAGTTTAGAGTAAAATAATTGTTCTTTTATTCGTTTATTTTTTGCTATTGTGTATTTAAATTTCAAATATTAATTTCCATTTTGTCCCTCTTAAGGTAGAAAACATAACTAATAAAAAAACATGATTTTGGACAAAATTTTCGAAATTTAATTTATTATGAATTTAGAAATCAAATTTTTTTACGTTTTACACCATAGCTCTTATTATTTTTAAAATAATTATCTACAGTTTTCCAAGAGTGTTTACGATGATAAGTCACATATTTTGAACAAAAAACTAAGTAGAATTTCATTTTTAATCTGTGTTTCTTCACAAAGACAAGAGCAGAAATTTTTTTTAAAGTTTGCTTTTTTAGCACTAGAAGGACTAAAACTTAGTATATACCTATATTGCCCAAAAGCAGTAACAAGGATTGCATTGTGAAAGAATAACTAGCGTGTAAAGAAATTTGTTTCATTAATTTTTAATAATTTTTATATTATCTACAGTTATATAACAAATTATTAGTAAATATTAACAATAAAAAAATTTACTTCACTCGGAAAAAAAAATTATTCATTATTATTGATACATTTCTTTACTAATGAAAAAGCAGTCAAACATTGGGCAATCTAGTGTTAATTACATTGATCCCTAACTCACTAGTATATACACTTGCTTTCAAAATAATAGTTCAAAACACAAGTTAATAGCCTCCTAAATGAAATCCTCTAAAGATTTTTTGCTTTCGGCGATAGAATATTTTTTTTACAGTGTTTAGCGTATATTCAAAATTTGCCTTATTTTTTACCGAAAAATGACCTTTAAAAAATTTTTATAATAATTGCCAGTTTTATAAGATTTTAGATATAATAAAACATCTAAACTGGTTTCTTAAAATGTTATGTTAATGTTTAAAAAAAAAAAGGAGGCCGTCGTAACTAGTCAAAATAAACGTCTTTTCAAGGTTGTTTCATCGAAGACAAAACAATGGCAGGGAAACTTAAGAGGAAATCTATACAAAAAAAAAANAGTGATTTCGTGAAAAGAACGATGTTTTTTCATTCAATTTGAGTTATCTCTCCCTTTTTTTTTCTTCTTTTTTTTATCTGTGTTAATAGCTCTTCAATCATTTACTAAATGAAGGAGGAAGTGTTTCCCATGGGGAAAACACTTAAAAAAGCTCTTTGACCGAATCAGTTAGAAAGATGAACTTCTACTGGCGATGTTTACTTATTTTATTATTCGGCTCGCAATGGACGACATCGTCTGATTCAGGTAAAGAAAATTTGCTTGGAATATTAATATAATTTATAAATACAATTTTTATGTTTATAGTTTTTTAAGTGAAAGGCTTTTTTTCCCTCTGCATGATTTTAGATAAAATTTCTGATTTTTGTATTCTTGAATTTTTTGTTAGAGTTTATTGATTTATTTTTTCTTAATGCTCTGTTATTTTTAAACAAGTTTTATTTCGTTCAAGTATTATTTTCTACAAATTTTATTATCGTATTCAAGTATTAAACTCGCATTTTAGACAAATTATTGGCTTTATTTATGTTTTGTTGTAAAATATCATTTCTAAAATGAATAGATTAAGAAACTTTTTTTCCTTCTCGATCTTAAATGAGTATAGCGATGTTGAGTTGTCGGAAAATTTTCCATTTTCGTTTTCTTGATGTTTTTTTTGTTTTTGTTTTATTTATTTAACACTTTCTACTAATTTACTTATTTTAATTAATTTTCGCATTTTTTTATAATAGTTAAACGGAGGAAGTTTTTAAAAATCAGAAAGGAGGAAAATAATATCTAGCTTGAAATGAAATAAACTTATGATTTTTCACTTTAAACTATAGTGTTTTTTCTTTACTGTTTCTATATGCTTGTTTGCTTTATTTATGTTTTATCATAAAATATCATTTCTAAAATGATTAAATCAGGAAACTTTTTTCCTTGTCGGCCTTAAATAAGTAGCGATATTGAGTTGTTGGAAAACTTATGATTTTCGTTTTCTTGATGTTTTTTGTTTTTGTTTTATTTTTTAATTTTACTTTTTTGAAATCAATTTTCGCCTTTTTGATGATAGTAAATCATTCAACAAAGGAATTCTTTAAAAAGAAGAAAGGAAGAAAAGTGAAATAATGATTGATAACTTTTAAAACAGTTCTATAAAAAAAAAATCTTGAAAGTCATAGAATAATTATAACTTTTTCATTGCTGCTGAAAAATATTCGTATGTTTCTGAAAAATATATAAAAAATTCATTCAAAAGTTATAATAATCTTGCAGTGGAGGAAAAATATTCATAATTTTTTGTTCAAATGTGCGAAAAACAATAGATGAAGAATTTAAAACAAGTTGAATAATTTACATTTTTGTAAAATGTCGCATAGTTGTTATTCTAACCATTTTTTTAAGAACTAGTGTAAAAAAAATTTTTTTTTGAAGTTATAAGTAATTACGAATTTTGTTTCGTTCAATTTTTAGTTTCGTATATTTAAATTTCAGATATTAATTTCCATTTTTTCCCTCTTAAGGTACAAAACATGTCTAGTACAAAAATGTGATTTTGGACAATATTTTCGAAATTGAGTTTATTATAAATTTAGAACGTTGATAACAGAAGTTTATCTCAAAATCAGGTTTTTTTCATATTTTATACTACCTTAAACACGATAACTCGTATTGTTTTTAAAATAATTGTCAATAATTTTTCATGAGTGCTTATAATTATAGCTCACACATTTTGAACAAAAAACTAAGTAGAATTTCATTTTTAATATGTGTTTCTTCACAAAGACAAGAGCAGAAATTTTTTTAAAGTTTGCTTTTTTAACACTAGAAAGACTAGAACTTAGTATATACCTATATTGCCCAAAAGTAGTAAAAATGGTTGCATTGTGAAAGAATAGCTAGCGTGTAAGGAAATTTGTTTAATTAATTTTTAATGTTTTTCATATTATTTACTGTTACATAACAAGTTATTAGTAAATATTAACAATAAGAAAAATTTATGCAATATTGTTTGTACATTTTTTTACAAATGAAAAAGCAATTAAAAAGCAGTAAAAATGACTAATCAATGACTTGGGCAATTTAATGTTAACTTCATTGATCCCTTAGTCGCTAAAAAATACACTTTCTTTTAAAATAATAGTTCAAAACACAAGTTAATAGCCTCCTAAATAAAATCCTCTAAGGATTTTTTGTCTTTGTTTTGGGTGATATACTTTTTTTTTTACAGTGTTTTGAGTATATTCAAAAATTACCTTATTTTTACTTAAAAATGACCTTTTAAAATAAATTAATAACAATTGCTAGTTTTAAAGGTTTTTAGATATAATAAATCATCTAAACTGGTTTCTTAAAATTTTATGTTAATATTTTCAAAAAAAAGGTCGTCGTAACCAGTCGAAATAAACGTCTTTTCAAGGTTGTTTCATCGAAGACAGAACAATGGTAGGGAAACTTAAGAGGAAATCTATACAAAAAAAAAATGACATTTATTCATAGTATAGATAAGAGTATTAAAAAATTCGTCTATCAGAATCTTTACCGACGTTCAAAATAATGAATTTTTACAGTAGCTAGTGTCCATATTTGAGTCACTTGACAGAAATTAGTAGACATCAATAATGATTGTCCATTCTGATAATAAACACTTATTTTCAACCTCATAATATGTCTGTGCGAATTCTAAAATATGATGTTTAATTTAGTTTTTTTTTGTTTTAATTAAAAAAAGAGCTGATAAATTTACATCATATTTAATCTTGAAATCATATTAGCTCAGGGGATAAAGCGCTCGCCTTCCCATGATGTGACGGGTTCGAATACCAGAGATGGCTGGTTGATACGAATTCCACGCCCGGCTCGCACCACCCACTGTGCTGACGTAAAGTATCCTCAGTGGTAGACGGATCATGGGTTAAAGCTCCCTTGTCGTCCGACTTACCGTGGGAAGTTTTCGTGGTTTTCCTCTCCATGTAATGCAAACCATGTAACGGGTTAGTTCCATCAAAAAGTCCACCACGAATGAAATTCTTCCAAACTTGGTCTTGTTTTCTAGGTTGGGTTCCAAATTACAAAGCTTCGGAGTTGAACATTAGCAGTCGTAAACCCGAAATTGGATCTGCTGTTCAACGATGGCTATAAAATATATAGAAAATCAATTTTTTTTATATATTATGAATATAATAAAACTACAATGTATCTATTCGTACTTCACTATGTCTTTTTTTTCTTTCATATATTTTAAACAGTAAAAGAAGGGTCAGGTAGACAAATGGTCATGCTCTTAAGTCTTTACCAAGGTCTTGAAAAAATGTAATTCGTTTTTAAAATTTCAGCTTTAGTTTTCTGCCCCTAATAAATGCATTTCGTACAAAACCTAATTGTTGAAAGGTTATATAATAAGTACCAAATATACCAGAAAATATATAAAGTATTTTATTATTATATTTGGTGATCATTAACACAGCACTAATAAGAAGCAGTTTTAATGCCGATACTGTAAAAAATAATTGTTTTGCAGCCCTCAGAAAGGGATTTGTAAAGGACAAATTTCCTTCATAGTGGTAAATTTATATTTTCATAAGTTGCTCCCGGAAAATAGTATTATGCCAAGTGATGCTAAATACAGTAAATCTCTATTCTGAAAGGATGAACGACGAGAAACGAGTTTAGCTTAACTTAATAACGTAAAGCCGCCAGAAAGAGCAACAAATAATAGTAAATTAAAAGATTGAAATAATTTTAGCTTTGTTAATTTAAGTACTTAGTGGAAAAACCAGCTAAGTGATATTTTCAGAAAAGTAAAAGTAATGGTAAAAAAAAAAATGGTTTCTGAGCAATTTTACTACCAATTTATTAGTAGGCAGGACTAATAATTTTTTGACTAATGTGGATTAGTTATGTTAAGATTAATGTGAAAGCAACGAAGAACGGGCAGTATTGAGGTAGAATAAGGTATTTAAATAAATATGAAAATAGTATTTATTTTTGTGTTTAAAGGACTGGGGGAGCCGTGGTGGCTCAGGAGATAGAGCGTTCGCCTTCCAATGAAGTGAACCGGGTTCGAATCCCAGCGATGGCTGGTTGATACGAATTCTGCACCCGGCTCGCACCACCCACAGTGCTAACGTAAAATATCCTCATTAGTAGACGGATCGTGGGTTAAAGTCTCTTTGCCGTCAGGCTAACCGTGAGAGGTTTTCGTGGTTTTCCTAACCAAGTGAAGCAAATGTGGGCTAGTTCTATCAAAAAAGTCCTCCACGAATAGTCCTCTCCTAGTTCTTGATCCAGGATTTCCCTTGTCTTCTGGAATGGGTTCAAAACTACAAGTTTACGGAATTGAACATTTGTAGTCGTCATAAACCAAAATATTGGGTCAGAAACTCAACGACGGTTATTAAATATATGAATGGGAGGTTAAACTATTTTGGAGGGATGTCCACAATAGCCTTGGGGGTGATGGGTACCCCTACATTGTCGTGCCGAATACTTTGGATAATTGACGAATGGAATATGTATTGAATATTCTTAAAAGAATCATTTTTAAAACTGTATATTTTAATTCTTTAGAAGTAAATTGAAATTAGTTAAATTGTTGATAAATTTTATGAAATAGTGTTAGCAATATAGGGTGTCATTTCAAGTCCTGTCAATATTTTTTTATGTTCCTCTGCGATAATATCACAAAATGTATCGATAACTTTTATTATTAACTACCATCTAAGCAAAATAGCGTTGACTAATTTCAGTCGAATTACGAAAATATTAATTAGTGTAAAAATTCGAAAAATTGTTAAAATATCTTTATATATAATGTGTTAGATTGTTGTTTATTCAGTTCATACTATTAGTTCTCATTCTCCCTCTATCTTGTTCAAATTTTCAATCGTTAATAAAATACTTTTGTATTCATCAACTCAAATTCAAATACATTTTTTTTTAACTTATAGTGGATGGCATTTGACGTTAATACAATTTTTACGAATATTAATTCATTCATTAAATAGGGGTGAGCGAAAAACAAAATGGAATGTTCTGACGGGGTAAGCTTTAAAGGGTTTTAAATTTAATTATAAGCTACGCAGTTTTTAGCATATTTTAAAAATAACATCAGTGATCATTTCTAACTCATAGCTCTATTTGAACCAAAAAAAAAAAATAGTTTATGACGCACATTTAACAATTTAATTGTTTTATGTTCGCTGTGTCACATACATTCAGTAAAAAACATGACGTAGTAGCACATGTGATTCCACGTCACCCAATTTATACTTTTATAGTTATCTGAGACCACGCCCCCTTTTTTTTTCAATTCCTTCTATTAGTTTACACCCTTCCTATATATATTTATATGTATAGTTAAAATTTTCAATCTTTCATAAAATACATTTCATTCATCTATTTAAGTTCAAATACATTTTTTTTTATTCTTGCAGTGGCTAACACTCGATGTTAATACAGTTTTTTTTTCATATATTAATTCATTCAGTAAATTAAATGAATTAATTATAGCTTTATATGGAAGAAAAAAAAATTGATATTTATTGACTATATAATCATTGAGATCTTTGTCGTCTGTAGTAGAATTGAAGAAACCAGTTTTCCCTTCCTTCAGAATGTGTGAGTGAAGAATGATTGAGGCATGTTTATTAGAAAGTGAGGCGTCAGACGTTGAAATGGTTGAAGGATGGAGTGTTTTTTAATTGTTGAAGGCGTCCACTTCCTTCCTTATCATTTTTATTCTTCACTTAAATGAGAAGAACGTTCTTCCATTTTGGAACTTCCATTCATGCTTCTGAGATTCGCCTTTCATTCACTGTTTATTGAAAATAGCTCTTAAACGCTTTCTTTGATAAGCAAAAAAAAAATTGTTTACTGCTGCTATTTATTGTTTACATATTTAAATCTTTCGAATGATCTCTTTTTTTTAGAATGGGGATATCAGGTACTCACAGAATATAAAAAAATACTGCTAAATAACCCAAGACGGAAATTGTTTTACTGCCTTTCTTCCATATTGTTAAAAGTCATGAACCTAAATTTGTTGCCGTCATGATTAAGATTGTTTGCCAATTCGGCGAGCGTTTCTTAATGTTTTGTTTTTTATTTACCTACTTTGTTCGATCTCCGATGAGGATGTAGTAAAAAATATGGATATCAACTAAAAATCTATCGTTCTTTGTTAAGGATATTCTATGGTGAACGTCCTGTATTAAAATGATCGTTAAATTTACCGTCCACTCTTGAATCGTCGTAAATACATATTTTCTCATTTCCCCCTTTCTTTTAATTCCATACGCATTAAAAAAATTAATCTCTACCTGGTGTCAAAATAGTATGAAAAATTTTAGACAAAAAGACAGCGTTTTTTTTCTCCAACAAATGCAAAAAGTAAACTTTTAACGAGTTTATAACTTTATGTATTTGCTTGTTTTTTTTTATTATTGAGTATGTTATTATAAAATCATTGAGTATGCTATTATAAATAAATTACTAAAGACTTGTTTGTTAATTTATACAATTTTTACCATGTGCAAATTCATTTCGGGCAAATCCGTGGCTATAAATAAGCGCAAAACAGGCAATTCATGTTTTTTTTCCTCTCTAACTTCATTAAAATTGTATAATTAAGTATCAACCGTATTAATTATAAACTTCCTTAAAATTATCCAGTATAATATTGCCTAGCGCACATCCATTTTCGGGCCAAACCTTGGTCACTGACAAATCAAACGAGATATATATTAGCTGCATTTTAGATATCATCAGTGACCTCTAAAGTTACTTTTTTGCGACTAATTTTCTGTTTAACTAATAAAAGATTTTTATTTTTTTAAAGGATGTGTGAAAGAAGATTTTCCTTGTGATTGCTGCGGTGACTGCGTCAAAAAAGAAAAATGGTGTGACGGTACAACTAATTGCCCGGATGAAAGTGATGAGAAATACTGTAAAAAGGTCTCTTGGTGTAAGTATTTTAATTTTTTTTTTCTCTCCACAAAATATCGTTTCTCTTCACAAAATATCGGCTATTTTTTCACAAACTATAGATAATTTGTGCAGATTTCAAAAGTGAAATATATTTAAAATATCAGAGCAATAAATCTGAATATTAAGTATTTTTTTTTTAAAAAAAATAAAAATTTATAAATATCAAAAATATTTTCACAACATAGAAACCGTCATATCATAAAGATATTGCCTACTTGTTTTGTAGAATAGAAAACGTAGAAATTTATTTTGAACTCCTTCGATGCAACACTTTATATTACTATATTCTGACTTATTATATGATATATATATATAGTAACCCCAAAATCCTTAACAATATCCAAACGAATAATAGTGATATTATAATAATAAGGTATAATAATGACATAATAAGGTAACATGTCTTATAAAAATGACATGTTACCTAAGTAACACGTCATTTTTATGAGAGAATAAAGATTAAGATTTATGTGTATGAGAAATAATGAAATATTTTTATAATGAAACATTAAAGATAACATTATTATAATGAAACATAATGAAACATTAAAGATCTTTATTAAAATGCAATGTTAAATTAATTAACCTTTTTTAAGACAAAATTGTCAGAAATGGTAATTTAACTATTAATCTATATTGTAATTTAATTACTAATCCAGCTATTGATTCATATAGTAATTTAACTATTAATCTAACTTTAAATGGTGATTTAACTATTTATCTGCTCTATTTATATAGTCAAATATATAATATACCGTCTCATTTAACCTATTAATACACGAATGTAAACAAGAGTAAACAGTCGCATAAAAGCAATAAAGCTGTACAGCATATACTGATAATTAAAATTTTACATAAAATCTTAGAGTGCGTCCAATAGTTTAGCCACGGACGGACTGTATATTTTGCTCAAATTGTTTTTAAGTTTCTTATTTTAAAGGTGAATTCGGAATTTTATCATTAATGCCTAAACTCTCAATATCCCAGAATTTACCGTAGCTGAAAATTTTTGTCAAACTTTATTTCTTCACAACTGAATTTTCCCTCACAATAACACAAAATTTCAATGCTTATGGCATTTAAGTTTGAATGAGAATTCCAGTTATACTTCCGAGTCATGTTTCAACATGAAATAAAATCTCTAGCCAGCCCATTGGAGTTTCCAATAATTATCTTCGCCTATTCATAAATCAATTGAATTTATTCCTTTCGAAAGACATAAATCAGTAAACACAAAATCCTCAAGAAGCAACTTTTATTTTCTCTTCATGCGTGTGTTTATGGAAACCAACAATTCGAAATCTGACCTTCGAGTCGTTGATACTCGGTTTTATGATATCAAATGGTTTTTTTTCCTTGCGGCTTCTCCAAGAGTATAAAGTAATAAATTTTCCATTCTTATTGTCTGGTGAATAAACTTTTTATGCTAATTCTCTAGTAATGAATGACCTCATTGAAGTAGCCCATTTCCTTAAAGCAACTATCTTTCATTAATAAATAGAGAGTCATCAATATTTTTCTCTTAAGTGACTTATGAAAAGTAAGTATGATTTTTTTTAAAAACCCTTTTAAGAATTTGTAATTTGAAAATGTCAAATTTTGTAAAATCACCCTACAAAATACACAATGGTATTTTATTGACTTTGGAGTATTAAGAATGTTACACTATCATTATTATTACATTCACACACACTCACTTATTGCGTTATTTCAATCAATCTTACAATATTCCCAATTTTTCACCTAACAAAATACACAATGATATTTTATTAACGTCACAGTATTAAGAAAGTCACTCTATCATTGTTATTATATTCATAATGTGTTATTTCAAACCATCTTACAATATATTGCCAATATTATTCTTTTTATTTTAATACTTGTAGGGGATAACGATCCAAATAAATGCTCCTCATCCGAAATTCATTTCTTGTGTAAATCAGGAGTGTGTATTCCAAAGAATGCTAAATGCGATGGTCATGAAGATTGTGAAGGTGGTGACGATGAGCAAAATTGTAAGTAGCATTATTTAAAATATGTAACTATTAAAAACAATTAACAATAATTAATTTTTCTGTCTAAGAGAAAATACTATTAATAAGATCAAGAAGAGTTTTTTTTCTCCTATTTAAAAATAAATAAAATCAGAATTCAGCATTTTTTAAGCACGTTTACTGTCGGACCCCGATTTAACGAACCCCTGTGTACCGAGTTTCGCGATTTAACGAATTTTTCTTCCTCTCTGATTAAAATGAAGGCTCGAATATGGAACCCTGAACTAACGAATTATTCCGGCGGTCGAAAAAAATTTTACTGACGAAATACTTTTAAATTTCAAATTAATCAGCGGTCAATCATTTCCTGTATTTAAATTTTTTGAATAAAAAGTGAAAGATTTCTATTTATTTTGTATATTTGTTCATTAGAGATGTTCGCGGATATTCCATAAGGTAAGTCTTTTTTTTTCTATTTCGATTTTCGATATTACGAATTATCTTCTATTTAGCGAATGATACTTTCGGACTCTATGAATTAGTTAAATCGGGGTCCAACAGTATTTGTGTGACAATATTTCAACACATTTTTTATTAATTCGGTGCCGCTTATATTTATATAGAAAATTAGTTCACACCAGAAAAGAATTATTTTATACAGTGACACCACTAGAAATACGTCATTTCATATCGCTAAGAGGAAACATTTTGTTGTGATATAACAAATAATTTCTCAACATGACATAAGCTACTTCTCATTCTAAGCGTAAAAAATAACGTCGACAGCTAAAAAGTATTTTCACTCGTATCATTGCAAATTTATACATGGAAGAAAAAATCAAATTATGACATTAATTTTGTCAAGTATTCATATTCGAGCCTTGATGGCTCAGGGTATAGAGCGTTCGCCGTCCAATGAGGTGAACCGGGTTCGAATCCCAGGGCTGCTCGATACGAATTCCGCATACAGCTTTCACCGACCACAGTGCTGACGTAAAATATCCTCAGTGGTAGGCAAATCATGGTTTAGAGTCCTCTTTTCGTCAGGCTAACCGTGGGAGGTTCCCGTGGTCTTCCTCTCCATGTAACGCAAATGCGGGTTAGTTTCCTCAAGGAGTACTCCACGAAGGCAAATTTCTCCTACTACTTGAACCAGNTTTAGAGTCCCCTTGTCGTCAGGCTAGCCGTGGTAGGTTTCCATGGTCTTCCTCTCCATGTAACGCTAATGCGGGTTAGTTTCCTCAAGGAGTACTCCACGAAGGCAAATTTCTCCTACTACTTGAACCAGAAGTTCCCTTGTCTTCTGGATTGGGTTCAAAATGACAAGGCTACGGAGTTGAAACATTAGTGGTTGTAAACCCAAAAGATTGAGTCAGCTGTTTAACGAAGGTTATAAAATAAAATAAGAGTATTCATATCCATTCTTTTTTAGAAAAATAAATTTCAAGTTTCTTAAATTAAAGTTTAAAAAAATCAATAAGTTTTTGAAATTCAGTTAAAAAGTAAATGAAATCTAATAAAATGAAATCTAATAAATAAAATCCTGAAATCCAATCCATTCAAGTTTTAATGAAATCTATTTCTTTTTTAAATTTCATTTAGCATTAAAATGCTTGTAATATGCATCAAAAATCATCTACACTTTTTAATCGATTCTCATAAGCAAAAATAGGCTTTAATTTTTAAAAGTGAAAGTTTAAGAATACGAAATAGATTATATTTGGTATAGAAACATTTCACACTTTCCCGTGCATCTATTTACTTGGGTGTAAAGTCATTATCACCCTTAATCTATCTATCTATCTATCTATCTATCTATCTATCTATCTATCTANTATTTGGTATAGAAACATTTCACACTTTCCCGTGCATCTATTTACTTGGGTGTAAAGTCATTATCACCCTTAATATATATATATATATATATATAAGTATCCTTGCCAAAATTGAAGTACAAAAATTATTCATACTATGAGTTGAAAATGAATATTTTAGTGACGATGCAGCTGATCCGTCGAAACACTAATTAGGAAAGCGGAATCCATTTAATTGCCCTGTGAAACTTGAAAGTGTTTTTAATGCAAGTAATTAAACTTGATCAATATAATTTTGATAGCCCCGCTTTCATCTGCAGTGATTTTTTAGATTTAGATAGTGGTTTTTCCACCCTAACAAATACGTATGTGACCACATTGTGAAAAATATTTTGCATTTAACATATTTAATTAACATTGTGGGCAATATAAATATCAACTCTAGCCATTACTGAACGCCTTGCGTAGACAATAATCAGAATGTTTATTATTTGTATTTTTTCGGAACAGAATATATGAAGTGAAATAATACCTCAAATAGGCTTTTTCATCATATCAATAGTACTTAAATGGCAGAACCAATTTTATGTTTTTGATAATTGCTCTTCACTTTATAAGGATGTAGTTTCACTTTTTTTATATATATAATCATTTTCATTAATAATAACGTTATAGTTTTATCATTTTTATAAGCGTTTAGCCTTATTAAAAACCATTTCATTTCAGGAATATTTTTTAATAATATAACATTTTACAGTATTTAAAAACGTGTTTAAATTCTTATGACTATTACCAAAGCACGTGCGTTATGAAACATGCGATAATTCTGAGATTTTGTTTCAAAGTTAAGCATATTTAGCATCAAATATTAGGTGGGATATAGATATACTGAACAGTAAATTCGTAGCATTTATTTGAATTTATCTGATATACTTTTCTACGTCTTCCACAGGTGAGGTTCTTGTTACGACCCCCGACCCTATCGAAGCATCTGGTTCGAATGAAATAGACATCGATGACAATGAGGGTGATGACATCATCGACGTCAGCATAAAAGAAGAAGATGAAGATGAGAAGTCTTCATCCAGTGAATCGTCTGAGTCAAGCGAAGAGCTCCTGTTCCCCAAGCGCGATCATCCTGAAAAATCAACTCCAGTTACCATTTATGATTTTGGGACATCCCCATCTGTTAGCACGTTCCATGCCAAGAAGCACGACGAAGTATTACCCTCATCAACGAAATCGTCTGCACCATTTCCCACCACGTCTTCATATACCCCAGCACGACACAGCAATGTCTCGAGATCAACAGACACGTATCCTCATCACAAAACTCTAGGAAAGCGTCCTCCCCTCTTCGTCAATATCATTCCTTCACCATCGAACGAACGGCCGTTGCCAATCCTTTCCCATCGTCAGCGTCACCATCATCGTCTAAGGATGGAATCCAGATACAAGTATTACAATGGTCCTTATTCGAGAGAATACTCCATGTGGGACATGAACCTGAGACCTTTCGAGAAACAGAAAGCGGCGAATAAGCCTTTTTACTTTGCCAAAGACTACGCGTCCTTTTTCAGCAAGGAGAATGCTCGATTCTTGAAAGGGGGAGTGGCGTGGCTTCTGAAACAGCGTCATTCCAGTGGCGATTGGGGAAAAGACACTGGAAGGGCCCTGATAGCTCTCGCTTTGACGAACAACGGGTTTCCATTTGGAAATGGCGACTACGAGTTGATGAAACGAAGGTTTATGGTGCAGCTTGGTACGGATTTATTGCAAGAAGATGCTTTCCTGTTAAGGTTATTCCATTATTTGCTATTCTTTTACGAACTAATTATACGATTACTTAAAAAACTGCAGTGTTAATCGTTGTCCGAGTAAAGAGCCCCCTCCAGAAAAAATTTTTAAATATAAAATTAAAACCAAAAATAAGAGAAAGCATTTTTTTTTCTTCTAATTTTAAAACATTTTTGTGACTTAAAAATCTGAATAGCCCATATAAATTAAATATTTTATGTATTTCGTCATTTTAACGCTATCTATCACTGAATTTTTTTTAATCGATATGTCAAATAATTGAGGAGTTTAATGGAAGAACATGTTTAAGAACATTTTGAAGGCCTTAACATTTCCATATTTTAAAAATAGATATTCAATGCTAGCTGTAATTAATTAATCATTAAAATATTTGTCAAATCTGTAAAAAATATTTTTTTTTAAATTTCAATAACTCTTTGTGTTCTGATAGTTCTGCACATTATGAAGCTGATTTCGTTAAATCCATTAAATTTTTGCTAAACATGTTATTTCATTATAATTACTAATTAACTAAGAGTCGGCTTTTATTGTGATTCTGACTAAAATGTTGAAGCATAAAAATGTCTCACGATAATCCCAGATAGAAAATTACATACCTTACAACTCCTTCAAAGATGTTATCATCGTGCGTTTTCATTAGTGCTGCTATGAAGAAATTGTCACCTCCCTGAAACTTTAAGGTATGAGATATGGTAAATATAGATATATAAATATATTAAGATAATAATTTCCTTCATAGTATCTTAGAAAGCAAATGTTGGAACAATCAAAAACAGCCATCATCCTATTGTAGGAATTCGGACTGATTTATGATGGTCCAACAAAAAAGAAACAATTTGTTTTGATGGTATATTCCTGAGAACAAACAAAAATATCCATTTAAACCATTAAGGAAATGTACAGTTGGAACCATCATGAACCATCACGGATCATCATGGATTGTTGGTTCATGAGAATCAAACTTCTCTTTGATGGTTGAAGTAGCTATTATGTTGGTTACTATGTTGCTTAGTTCTAAAGTAGCATTTTCCATCATGAAATGATGGACGTTTGTTGGCATATCAAGAATCATGAACGCATGATGGAAATGTTGGATGATGGTAACCATCATAAGTAATAATAATTATTATTAAACCATCATGGAAATGCATTGTTGTACCCTTATGGACTATCACGAATTTCCATCATAGTATTTTAAAAATCAAATGTTGGAATGATCATGAACAACCATCATTCCAATGTAGGAATTCTGTGTGATTTATGATGGTCCAACATTTAAAAAAAATTGCTTTTAAGGTATATTCCTGAGAAACAACAAGAATTTTCATTAATCCATCATGGAAGTGTATAGGAGGAACCGCCATGGACCATCACGGATTATCATGGATTGTTGATCGATGAGGATCAAGATTCTCTTGATGGTTAACCATCATAGTATTCAAGCTTAATTTTCCATCATGGAATGATGGAAGTGTGTTGGCATATCAAAAACCATGAACGCATATTGGATGAGGGTGATTCACGATGGTCATGTTGGACCATCATGAATCGCACTGAAACCACCATGTACCATCAAAATGTTTTGATCGGACCATCAAGAATTTTGACATGGGGATCAACCCTATGAACAGGTATCTGTGGCATGTTGCCAGCCTTGGTGACATACGTTCACAGATGCCCACCGGGAAACGTTAAGCTAACAAAGAATATAATAGTTCAATACCAAGCATTAAAAGAAGGTCTTAAAAGTAGTTTATCAATAAACATTACAGAATTATTGCTTCATTAAAATTTGGAAATGTGAACGTTTTCCATCTTGTTTTCAGGAGTCACTCCGGAGAATTCAACATCAATAAGCTGGCCAAGATGATCAACGCCTTACTGGCTGTCTGCGAGAATCCGCGAGATTTTCACGGAATGGACTTGATAGAAGTGTTGAGAACTAAAATGAGGGAAAACTTCAGTAGGCGACAGTACTTCGTCAATCCTTACGTTTATCTGACCCTGTGTTTGTCCAACAGTTCCCTATCTACCGCAGAAGTACAAAATTTAATCAAACAGATGTTGACGAAGAGACACGCTGATGAAATGGCTAAAGGTATGATTATCTTCATAGAAAACAATGCTACCATGGTGTGTAACGTTTTTAAAAAGTGATTAAAGGTGCTTATTTTCGATTTTCGTTTTTAATAAGTCCTTAAAGGTGCTTTTTTATGGAATGTTTTTAAAAAGTGCTTAATTTTCCTTTTTCGAAAATTAGATTTTTTTGTTCGTTACCACGTCGATTTTCGGCAAGCATTATGCAAAAGCGTAATTTTGACATAGTTCTATTCAACGTTTCTTTACAATTCTTTCAAACACAAAGTATTTCGGCGTACCGTCGATCTGTAGTGTAAGAAATCGCCAATCATTTTACGTATTTGAGGAAATACTTTCGGGTCCGCATGTGCATAAACTGAGCTGGGCTGGGTGAGATTCTTGCACTGTCATGTGCAACTCAGCTATATTCTCAATTTCAAGCTTCCTTTTCCACCCTCTGATATTGAACCGAAAAATCTCTCGAGCATTTTATGGTGGCTAATTTAATCAAGAAAAGAGTTCTCTGTCAGAACCTAGTTACTTTATCATGATCATGTAACGTTTTTAAAAATTATTTTGCATTTTTTAAATGTATATACACATTAAAAAATTCTCAAGATATGACGAGGTACACAAAAAATATAATTATAACATTAAGTGGTTCAAATGCTCGACCGCTGTACAGTATACACTTCCTTGGAAGGTTGCATTTCTGCAATATACATCCTGCAATTCACAACAAAGTTCAAAATGATCTCTGTATTCTATTATTAATCTCTGTATATAGTAGTCTCTTTAGATGTAGTCTCTGTATATAAATTTTTGACCGCTGCACGGTATACATGTCATTGGAAGGTTACATATGATTCCAGTAATCTACATCCTGCAATACACAATAAAGTTCAAAATGACATTTGTAGTCTATGATATTTGTAAAGGAAACTTTTCCTTTCTCTGAGCAGCGTAGTTACTTCCTACTTAAAACGTATGCTTTTCAGTCATCTTTATACAATTCTTTAAATTTTCTAAAATCCTTAGAAAAATGCAAAAGGATTTGAATTGTAATTCAATTGCTCCGATGTCTTTGTTCTGTAATATCTTCATGGGAATAGGCATGAGAGAAAAATTAACTTGCGTGACTTTTTCTGCGTTATTTTTAATTGCAATTAATGAAAAAATAGCATAATTAATTTAACATTGAAATAATAGCTTAAAGTATAACATAAATTATTCATTTAATACAGTAGAAAAATAATTGACTAGATCATTCTACTGGATACGGAAAGCCTTGCCATTCAAGCAATATGTGGTTATGTGCACCAGAACACTTTTTAGAAGATCCAGCTTAGCGAATTTCATTCAGCGAAACACTCTACAATGCAGTCTTTGCATTGTAGATACATAATTAACATATAATTAGAGCAACATAACAATATGTTTGGCATAAAACACTTATGCTTAATAAGATACATAAGCTCACATCAATACAAAAGAAGTGCTTAACATTTTCTCCATTCTGGTAGATATGCAAAGCCTCGCCATTCAAGCATTCACATGTCATGTGCACCAGAATACTTTAGAAGATCCAGCTTACCGTATGTCATTGCACGAGACTCTCTACAATGCAGTCTCTGATATACAGCAGAGAATGTTTGAAGATGGAAGCTTTGGTAGCGTTTACAGTACAGCATTGACCGCACAGGTCAGTACTTAGATTGGATATATGACCACCATCCAATTTCTCGAATCTTTGTCAAAAATGATGTAAATATTATTAACACGAATGCTATTTAAGTGTGAAAAAACATTATCAAAATCTTACGAGCTTTAGCGAGATGGGTGGTTTTAAAAATATGAAAATTTTTTACAGTGTCAGATATAACCTAAAAGAAGGTTGAAGACTATTAGGTTTGAGGATATTAACCCTGGTTTTTCATAATGATTGGTTGATATTTTTTAAAAAACATGTCTTTCATTTGTTTTGTTAGGAAAAAGATAATCGATATTTTAAAAATAAATATAAGTAAAGGAATAAAAATGCCACCTCTGTTAAAATACAAAAACTAAATAAATTCAGTTAATAAATTGCAAGAGGTTAGAAATACGATCAAGAACAAAATAAACTCATTTTAGTCGCTGAATTTAAAATTGTTGGCTTGCATGGTTTGTAGCTACAAAAGGCCTCGTCGGGTTTGCATTTCTGACTTCCAAAATATAAGGAGTAGTTGCAATCTAGAAAATATGGTCCTGATAGTTTGGAGAGGAGGATGGTTCAAAACTTGTACCTCTTATTTTTAATTTTACCTTTTGCGTATTTCACTATATCACTTAAGTGAAGCGAAATTTTTTGCACAAAATGATAAAATCTATTTATCTATAGACAGTTCCATACAAAAAAAACTTTTAGTAAACTATTATTATTTTATCTATTGAGAGTCGAAAAATTTTAAACTAAGGTATACAATTCATCCTATCACTTTAAAGCAGCAAGGTATAAAATTTTTCAATCACTTAGCAAAACACGAATTTTGAGCGAATTCAGTCGAATAGTTCTGAGAAATCGAATTTTAAAAGTACGTCTTGTATAAAATTCGAATTCTCGAGAACTATTCGACCGCTTTCGGTCAAATGTTATATTTTGCCATGTGAAATTTCATTCTTTAAAAAGACGTATACCTTACAATTCAAATTTTTTCCTCAAATTTTGTATATTTTATAACTTAGTCGAATATTTCTTAAGTAATCGAGTTTTAAAAATACATCTTGTATCGAATTCTCGAAAACTATTCGACCGCTGTCCCTCCTTAAATTTTCATTTTATTATGAAAAAATTTCATTCTTTTATAAGAATAAATTGAAAACTTTACAATTCAATTTTTTTCGACTATTATTAAATAAATAATAAATATTTATTAAAAGTTATTTTTTGCATGGAATTATCTTGAGATAAACGAATTTTATAATTGCATACAAAGAATTTTCAGTTCGCTTAAAAAGTTCTCGAGGTATGGCAAAATACGCAAAAAGTAAAATTCACATTAAGGGTTCCGAATCTTGGCCTACTTTCCTGACCAAAGTATTTGGACCATATTTCCCATATTGCGATTACTCGCAATATTTTGGGAATCATAAAAGGCATGTTTATTTAAGGAAAGTGCGTTTTTTTCCAGATTTCATGGCTGAAATTACAGTCTACGCTAATTAATTAGCATATTTTTGGTGACATCAATATTGAGTCTCAGAATGCGGAGATCCGATGATTAAACCAAAAGTTATTCTGAGTAGTCTTTTTTTATTTATTTATTTTGTGAGCTTTGCATTTCTTTTTATAATAGCCTTTTAGTTTTAGAAGTGTACGATTAGATTACAGAAATAAAATGTTTTATGATGAAAAAATTGATATCTTTTCAAGTTTCGATTTTGGAATAAATTAAATCAATTTATCTAGTCTTTCTGAGGAGTAGAATAGAATATTCTTTCATTTACTTAGGTATATTTAAGTTTTTTATTCACAAATAATTCATAGATTTACATTTAAAGTTTTAATAATAAAAAAATATTTTTATACTGTTACATAAAAGTTAATTTTTTTAGCCATCGAAGCATATTTATAAAACAAAAATGCATATCACGTAACATTAGTTCTAAACATTATTTTTGACTTAATATTAAATTAAAATAATGAAAACATTTTAAAAATAATTGTTAGCATATGATACAGTTTTAGTTATTTTTAATTGAGAAAAGTATTTTAATCAATACATCCATACATTTGAACAATTTTTATGAAATTTATTGCATGATTTATAATATGCGAGGTGTGGCTAAAAAAAAAAGAAACTGTTACACCAAAATATAATAGTTGGGATTCATTCATTTTTTTTCCACTTGCAATATATTACCTTCCTCTATGCCTGAAACTCTCCATACGAATTTTGGATAGAAAAGTCACATATTGCCAGATCAGGTGAATAATGCGGATGATCGAACACTACAATGTTGTACTTAGAAACGCTTAATCCACTCTCCAATTTGCGTATATGAATGTTTATTACTATATGCTTTTTGTGCCGCGATGGTTCGGAGGATAGAGCGTTCGCCTTCCAATGAGACGAACGGGGTTCGAACCCCAGTCGATACGAATTCCGCACCCGGTTTGCACAGACCAGAGAGGTTTTCCTCTCCATATAACGCAAATGCGGGTTAGTTCCATCAAAAAGTCCTCCACGAAAGCAAATTTCTCCCAATACTTGATCCAGGAGTTCTCTTGTCTTCTGGATTGGGTTCAAAATTACAAGATTACGAAATTGAACATTAGTAGTCGTAAACCCAAAATAATTGGGTCGACTGTTCAACAACGGGTATAAAATAAAACGAAATAAAATAAAATACTTTGCAGACACGGAGTCTCACATGGAAAACTGAAAGCTTCACCCATTACAGCTATTGCTCGTCCGTGTTTGCCATGTTTACTATGCCGCGTTTGCCATGCAGGATTGAAACTTCTATCGAAGTCTCAATCTTACCATTTATTAGCCACAATTCGTATAAAAAAATTTTAAAAAAAACCAGTATTGTAATTCACTGGAAATAAACCTTCCCGGAGACAGATCCGGCTTGTAAATGGGATATTATTGTTTCAGGCACTTATGTCTGTCAACGCTTCAATCCAGTGGGAGGCGCAAAAGACTCTTCAGTTTTTGAAGGAACAGCAGAGAGAGGATGGCTCATTTGGTGATTTTTTGGCGACCTATTATGTATTGCCTGTGCTGAATGGACGAAGTTTATTACATTTGAGAAACATAAGGTGTGCCTCATTTAACGCAACACGTGGTAATAATTGTTACTTTCAATTAATTGTATTTATCAATCATTTTTCTCTAAAAGAAATCTCTAAGCAATTGCAGATAAACAATTCATATTTATATTCAGTTAAACGTAATGGGCACATAGTCATGGGTTTATTTATTTTACTATGGCAAAAAATTTCGAGATTTCTAAAATTTGTGTTTATGTAAAAAATCATTATATTTTTACGATTTTTTAAGAAAAAATATTCCCTTCACTTTTCTTTTTTAAATTGTTAAGAAATTAGGTTTGTTTTTGCCTCCTTGGTTTGCATCCCTTGATTTCAATTTTACCCACCAATAGAGCTACATGCGAATCCTGCTGAGAATGATCATTTTTTCCAATTTCCTTCAACTTTAAAACGTTACATCTTATGTAACAAAATTTAATATACATATTTGGTATACGTTAATTAGCCTTTAGAAAAATAAAGAAATATATTTTTGAAATTTGATTTTTCTGATGGGTTAGTCATTGTTTTAAATTTTACTATACGCGATTCCGTTTTTCACATATTTTATAGATACATCAGTGATAATGTCTAACTTATAGCTTTATTTGAACAAAAAAATAATTTATTGCTCACATTTAAATATTTAATTATTTTATATTCGCTGTGTCAGATAAGTTCACTGAAGAATTGTTCATAAAAAACTTTTTTATTCGTCCATGCAAGTTCAAATACATATTTTTAAAGTTTTAGTAGATGACACTTGATGTAAATACAGTTTTTTCAAATATTAATTCACTCATTAAATTTAATGAATTCATTTTAGTTTTATGTTAGTTGTTGTTGTTGTTGTTCATTTACGTCGCACTAGAGCTGCACAATGGGCTATTGGTGACGGTCTGTGAAACATCCCTGACGATGATCCGAAGACATGCCATCGCAATTTTGATCCTCTGCGGAGGGGATGGCACCCCCGCTTCGGTAGCCCGACGACCTGCGCGCAAAGTCGAGCACTTTGACCCGCACACTGACCGCAGCCAGTGTTGCTTGACATCGGTAATCTGCTGGGAACCGTGTCTTAACGATCAGTCCACTGCGAGACTGTTTTATGTTAGAGAAAAAATTATAATTATTTAATAAAAAGTAACTAAAATAAAATTTATCTAAGTAAGTAGTCCTACGTAAGTAGTAATTGACTTTAAATTTTTTTTTTTATAATACTTGTTTATACTAATCGTACTTAGCTTGCGCCGAATTGATACAACGTTAGATTTAGTTACGATTAATACAATCTAGATTTGTACCAAATGGATTAATAGATGGTTCCTTGGTTAAATCTTGGTCATTTTCAAATTATTAAACCTTTAAAATATTGATTACTAATTATTGTTTTACATAGAATCATATGTTTCTGCAGATGATCAGATCGCCTTTATCAACTAAAAGTATAAACATTAAAATTCTAATATACTATAAAAACAAGTTAACATAAAATAAAAAAAATTAACGTCAATTCTTACTAAGGTCAGCTAAGAAAAATTTTATTTCTGTTACTTTTTATTAAATGATTACTATTTTTTTTCTTTCATGTAAAACTATAAATTTAATTAATTAAACTTATTAATGAATTAATATTTGAATAACATCAAGTGTTATCCAAGTTTAAAAAAATGTATTTGAAGTTGAGTGAATGAATAAAAAAGTATTTTATGAATGATTGAAAATTTGAACAAGATAATAGGGAGAGCGTGAACTAATAGTTAGGAATTGAAAAAGAATGAATGAAAGAGAGGAAAATTGCTTCTCTTAAATCAGTGTTTCCCAAACTTATGACTTTTGCGTACCCTTTTTAAAATTTTTCGTAGCGCATTGCACAAAAGTTAAGAATTACAACTGGCTTTTAACACCACTAACTATTAATTGTTAACTCAGCAAAAAATAGCCAATAGAAAAATACGTAATCGTAAATTTTCATTGCTAGCTTTGTTTTTACATAAAATTTGTTTGAAGTTTTTTAAATAAATTTTTTTTTTTCGTTTGTTGCAAGATATTTCGCATAAAAACGCGTGCCCCCTCTGAACTGTTCCCGTACCCCTGGGGGTACGCGTACCACACTTTGGGAAACACTGTCTTAAATGATCGATCATAAATCATTTAAAATAAGTTTTTACAAAAAAAAAAAAATTATGAATTTATAGCTTATTGTCTTGATAATTGAATTTAAAATGTTTTTGGCAACTAGGTATCTTGATGAGTTATTAAGTGTTCATAAACTTGTTAATAAAAGAATTATTTTTAATGTCAATTTAATTGGTATTTTACCACCACTATGACATTTTTTTTAAAGATATAAAAAATTATAGATACGCTGATATTACTAAAAAAAGAAAAAGGTTAATAATGACTCTTTAAAATGACTTGTGAAGAATGCCTATTATCTTTCACACACTGATATATGTATTTAATTTTAGTGATTGATTATTTTTAAAACGTATGTTTACAGAGGTGAGCCCATCTGAGATGTTGGAATTTGTGGGATCAAAGCAGTACATACATTACTCTATTTATTTTGGCTCGTCTTTGGTCAGTTCTCATTCTTTGAAAGTTCTAGTACCTCAGGGAATCAGCTTTTTGGAAATGATGAGGGTGGCCGAATACCAAGACGAAAACTTCAGGTGAGACTTCATATTTTACATATTTTATTATTACCCATTGGCGAAATGGGTCTTGTTTTGGATTTGATGGCGTCCAAACACTTTTCATCTGAGTTCAAGAGTAATAGTAAACAGTGCGCATGCGTCGTCACTGCCTGCGTTGCTATGGCGACCGCTGCTGTTTTTATTCTTATTTTCACTAGCAGGCATTTTTAATGTATTTACATAATAATAATTTAAAATATTTTTTATATTCTTTTTATTATTAACGTATAATGACTGGCTTTACCGGTGATTTCAATATAAGTAAGAATGGTGAAGAAGGAAAAGTATTGTGTGACGTCTTGAAACACGTGCGTAAGGCAGGATTTGAAAACCAATCCGACGACAAACATCCATGGAGACAGTTTTTGCAAACCGTGATTTGAAATGTTTAATGGAGTCTATTCAGAATTTGATCAATGGGTAACCCGTTATCGTAATAAGGCGATGACAACTTTTATCTATTTTCCTTAAGCTGCTGTGGTTCTTTAATAGCAAAAAGGTTTCAGTTACACGGTTATATTAAACTAGTGGGCTGCGCCGCCTGCTCGCTAACGATCTCCAACCCCCGAAAACTGCTACGCAATCTTATATGATTTGCTTCGCAAACCAAGCTCGCTTCGCTCGCTACTTACTTAGGTACATTGCAAATGCACAAAATTCTAAATATTCAAAACAATCATTCAAATCCATATAACAACTTTTTTTTTAAAAAAAAAATACATCTTTTTAGAAAATACTAAGTCATTAAAATAAATTTGAATTCAAATAAATGACATGTAATTCGTTAAACCTATTAGAAATGTGCTATAGTATAAAATCTTAAGATAAAATTTCTAAAACTGATATCTCTTCAAATATGTTAAAATTTTGGTTATAATTAAGTCTATTAAAAATTGAAATAAGTGAATTGCAATGGAAAAACCTGCATAAACGTTATGTTTTTAAAAATTAATAACCATAAACGATTCACAACTTTGTTAAAAACGTAAGTATAAGTCTTAGAAGTTTGACATACAAAAGAAAAACTTGCAGAGACTAAACATTAATTTGCAGTAAATACTAAATGCGAACAAATACTGAGAAAAATTAAGGGCTTAGCAAAAAAATAATAGCAAAAAAATAATTACTATTAAAGATTAAGAACACACAATTATAAATGTCCGGACTTGGAGCTATCATTGTTAGACTGTCAAATGATCTAACCCTAGAGAGGCCAAGATTAAGTTGTCCATGACTAAAAACTGGTTTTGTCTACATAAGTTCGTCAAAAAAAGCGCTTTCGACAAAATACTAAAATAGAGATCTATCGACAAAGATTACTCACTTCTGCCTAGCTTAATAGTATGAAATTGCAGCAGCTGAATTGAACAACATGCTGATGCTCTCTCTGGTTATTTCAGTTTCCGTTTTTAAAAGCGCTATATGTTGAGCCACCTCATCTAGATTTGCCATGTGACATTTTTAGCAGCAATCATTGGTCGATTTTCTAACGTTGCCATTCGGGGAGTTGTAATGAGGCTTTTTTTGGTGCCGTGTAAGAGAAATATATATATAGATTCTCGCTGGCTTTTTGGCGATTAACCTGTATCCAGATTATTTCATTTTTTTAGGTGAGGCTTCATACTTATAGTACCAATGCTCAGTTCTTATTGCATCACAAAATTCCAATGACTGCCACATTGAAAAATTCCAAATGATTCTCTTCTTCTTTTCAGTACCGAAGTAACGCTTAAGCTCTAGAAGTAGAAGGTTTTTAACCAAAAAAAGTTTTTTTTTAATGTTCTACAAATATTTCTCAACATCTATAGGAGTTTTTCTAACACCTGACACGCACTAGTATAAAGTTTCAAGCGATTCCCCCTTGCAAAATATTATGAAAAATTCTCAAAATATCCCTTCTTATATAACTGATACGCGAGCTCTAAAATTATCATATGCTTCGAGGTAAAAAGCTTTTTCTGAAACTTTTCTGCAAATAATTCTTGACGTAATGGGTATTTTCTGAAAAATTGGCACTCACTTTTTAATAAAAAGCAAGTTTCCGATGATTTTTCACTCGCAAAATTTTGTGGAAAATTTTCAAAGTGTTCTTCGTTTTGTAATATAGAATATATATCGCTGGTTCAAAGTTAAAACGACACTTCTACACTCACTTCTCATTCAAATAACATGAGAAGTGAGTGCAAAGTGAGTGCAAAAGTGTCGTTTTAACTTTAAACCAGCGATATGCTCTTAAATAAGCATATTCTGATTCAGAAAAGCGCTTTTTTTTAATTAAATTTTTCTACAAATATATCTTTATATATTGGTTTTTTTTTCTATAGAAATTGTGAAAAATTCTAAAAGTGTTCGTCCTTATGTATNCACCTATTGAAAGCCTTTTTTCTTTAATATTTACAAAAGTTTAAACAAGCATATTCTGGTTCAGAAAAGCGTTTTTTTTAATTAAATTTTTCTACAAATATATCTTTATATATTGGTTTTTTTTTCTATAGAAATTGTGAAAAATTCTAAAAGTGTTCGTCCTTATGTATATATATGTATGTTAGAAAAAAAGAATTTGTGCAAATATTTTTCAAAATATGGATATTTTCTTAAAAATTGACACTCAGTTTTTTTCGATAAAAGTTTCAAATGATTTCCGCATTGCCAAAAGTTATGGAAAAATTACACATTATTCACAATCCATATTCACTGAAATATCGCTATCAATCGAATAATGAAATATCGAATCAATATTCGCTGATCTTTGCCGATGTAACGAAGAAATAATGGTTTTTAAAATCCTGAGAATTAAAATTTTAAATATACGACTTCTTTAAAATTTGACTTCTCAGTATCTATTCAACCGGTTTCGCATAGATTTTGTATTTTGCCATGTAAAATTACATACTTTAAAATTATGTAAAAAGTTGTATACCTTACAATCCAATTTTTTTTCAACTAATATTATTATATAAAATAATTAAAAAATAATAAATATTTACTAAAGGTTTTTTTTCACGGAATTATCTTTGGATAAACGAATTTTATTATTGTGTGCAAAAATTTTTCAATTCGCCTAAAAAGTTATCGAAATATGGCGAAATAAAATAAAAAAAAAAAATAACATTAAGGGGCTCAAACTTCGGATCGCTCTCCTGACCAAACAGTGGGGACCTTATTTTCCACACTGCGGCTACCCCCGAAGTTTTGGGAGTCAGAACTACTAATCCGTTGAAAGAAATTTATGTTTATTCAGATAAAGTTCATTTCTGTATCTGATTTCGTTACTTAAAATATCGTCTGGACTAATTAATTAGCATATTTGAGATCGCCTCCTAGAACCATTGAGTCCTAGAACATGAAGATCTGATCATTAGATCACCAGTTATTCAGGGTGGTCCTTTTTTTCCCCGCACTGTTCATTAAAGAGGCAATGTGATTGCTATCGGTAATGTCTGATTGAGACATCGGACATTATTCACATTCGCCTAATTTCTATCGACATATTTTAGGGAAACGTAAAAATTGCTTTAAAATAAGCCACTCCCAGAAAGCATATAACCTTACAGCAACCTAGTGTCGGAGTTTTCTTTTTATAATCACGAAAATGTTTGTACTAAAAACCTTTCTTCAATAAAGAAAAAATATTGCAGTTTCAAACCTTACATCCTAAATGGATTACAAACTATTTTTTTAAAGCTTTCTTAAAAAATGTTGCCACTTAGGTGAAATGGTCACTTAGGTTCATCATTTGATCACACTAGTGATTGGCATCATCCATCATTATCCATTAAAATGGCTGCATTGTCCATCAAAATTTCATGACAAGGTGGATTTTAGCTGAGCATATCCGACGTTGCGAAAAGAAACCTTATAATTACCCAAATTTAAGATTATTTTTACCTTAAGACTAGCTTAATTCTAGGATTTATTCACGATGGAAATACCCTAAGTCAACCTCGATTTAAGGTTTTTACATAGAAGGATGTTTTCCAAGTTTTTGGATTAGGGTAGTGTGCGTAGAATAGAACAAATTGTCACAGATCTCGTTTTAATGTGAGAAGGTTTACACGTAAACCGCATAACAAACCTATTTAGGTTTGCATTAAAAGGTTTTTGCTGATTGAAAATAAACCTTATTTTGCTATCCGGGACTCTTTCTGCATAAGAATGTAAATCTGTTGACGGAAACGGGAAAGACCTCATTTATAACTTACTTTTTCAATAAAAAAATAAATTCCAAACAGAAATAATAAAAAATTTTTTTTTTAATTCTAGATTTTCATTGGACGATGAAGGTTTCGACGTCTATTCAGTGTCAGGAGTTCCAAATGATGCCGAACAGGGACTCTTCTGGCATCTCTACGTTAAGCCAGAGGCAGGCACCGACACTTACACACTGAATATGAGGGAGCTATACAGTGGAGGTAACCTATTTAAACTCAATTTTTACCTTATATGTAATTTTTGTTACACATTTTTCCTTATTTTATATGTAATATATGGAGGAACTAAAATAAAATAAAATATAATACACGAATTGCAATAGTCGGAAAAAATTACATTATTTTTGTTTTGTTACAAATGTAGTTAACTGCAACTATTTTTTTTAAAATTGGTGTGACTACCCAGGTCAATATTCTGGATGGTCTCATCAAAAAATTTTGATGGTTTATGCTGGTTTCAGTGTTATTCATGATGGTCCAACATCCTTTGATGGTCACCATGATCCAACAATTTCCATTACGTGTTGATGATTTTTTATATGCCAGCAAACTTCCATCATTCCATGATGGAAAATGTGACTTTAATACTATGACGGTTAACCATCAAAAGAAATTTGACTATCATGGAATTCGAACCGATTCATGATGGTTCCAACTGTTTTACATTTCCATGATGGTTTAATGAGAATTCTTGTTGGTTCTCAGGAATAAACCATCAAAAAAATTTAGGTTTTTTTTATCTTGGACCATCATAAATCAGTCCGAATTCCCTACTATGGGATGATGGTTGTTCGTGATCGTTCCAACATTAAGATTTTACATAGAATCTTATAGTGGGTCGAATAACTTGACCAGAGACTGTATGAACTTTACAACAAAATGGTTCAACAGTGTTTAGAATACAACCAACGCATCGAAAAATGATGCATTAAACTGGGTTACTTTTTGTCATATTGTTTAGTAATATCATTCAATTTTGCAGATATACGAAAACTCTTCCCTCGATCTGACCAACATGTGATATTCTGGTATCATCCAAAATTAGATCCTCTACTTAAATGAACGATGCTGCAAGGAGTTCAAGACTGAAAGGAACAATAATGTTCGGTGGACAAAAGAAAGATTATAGAACGTTACAGTATCAGAATACATCGTGCTACGAACATCAGCGTGATATCTTTCCTTCAATATTACACTGCCATAATAACAATTTTAATAAATTTTAAATTTACGTGAATTTTTGGTGTTTTCTTTTTCATTATTGCATAATAACCTATAAAAGAACGCATGTGAATGTATATAGTGTAACTCTTTATAACAGAAGTAAGAAACAAATTAAAATAATCCATTCTGTAAAAATTTCGAATTATGCGTTTAAGGGAAAAAAATTTCTTTGTCGATAATGTCTAGTGAGTTATTTCTCAAATAACAAAGTCACCACCAATGTATTGTATTTTATATATAAATTTTGTTGATTAGCCTACCTAATTTTTGGATTTACAACTCCATAGCCTTGTCATTTTGAACCCAATCCAGAAGACAAGGGAACTCCTGGATCAAGTATCGAGCGAAATTTGCCTTCGTGGAGGACTTCCTGATGAAACTAACCAGCAATTGCGTTACATGGAGGGGAAGAACACGCAAAAACCTTCCACGTCAAGGGGATTCTAACCCATGATCCGTCTACCACTGAATATAATTTACGTCAGCACTGTGGTCGGTGTGAGCCGGGTGCGGAATTCGTATCGACCAGCCTTCGTTGGGATTCGAATCCGGTTCACCTCATTGGAGGGCTCTGTTCGATGAGCCACCTCGTCCCATACTGCATTTTTGCTGTTACTGGAAATTTTAAAGAAGAGCATTTATACCATAATGTAAATTAGCTGAAAATATAAATAATTTCTCTCTTCCGAAATTTGATTACTTTTCAAACTGCTAAGTGATCAATTACCTGTTCAAAATTCCAAAATCTTTGGCATTAATAAGAACTTCTTTAAAACTCATTAAACCTGTATAGAAGTAAAAAAAAAGAAAATAACTAATGATTAGAAGAAAATAAAAAACGGAACTCTTAATAACTTTCGAACTAGTTTCAGTTTTCACGTATTAACATGTGCTGTTATCGGTTCCAAGGATGGGCTTTAAACAGACTGATTTGTTAGATCGGATAATATTTTTAGTTCAAAAATTGGACTAAAATAAATTAGAGTTTACAGAATTAGAGTAATTAAGTTTACAGAAATTAGAGTTTTATATACCAAACAATCGTACTGGAGGGAATTTTTATAAACTAATTAGGGGGCACATAATGAGCCAAAATAGATTTTGTTAATTAACAGGAATAAAGTTCTTTAAGCTATATATTCGAGGAAGCAACGTGTGAGCCGTGGTGTGCCTGTTAGAGCCACGGGTAAAGAAGTTTGTAGACCCGGTGGTCAGGGGTTCGGTCCTGGTCGCCGGTTAATTTTAAATTTTTTTCTAATTATTTTATTTTATTTTTTTAAAAATTATTTTTCGACATGAATAAAGTCATCTATACATAAAAATAACTATTCTTCTTTTGGGAGAGAGCGAATAATAGCTAATAAAACGGAATAATTTCGACTCCGGAGCTACGCACGCCACTCACCGAGTAACTCCCTTTAATATTAACTTATAAATTTCAAACTTGGCCGGAAATTAGAGTCTTATATACCAAACAATCGTACCGAAGGGAACTTTTATAGACTAATTAGGGGGCACATAATGAGCCAAAATGGATTTTGTTAATTAACCTGAATAAAGTTCTTTAAGCTATATATTCGAGGAAGCAAAGTGTGAGCCGTGGTGGGCTTGTTAGAGCCACGGGTAAAGAAGTTTGAAGACCCGGTGGTCAGGTGTTCGGTCCTGGTCGCCGGTTAATTTTAAATTTTATTTCTAATTATTTTATTTTATTTTTTTTTAAATTATTTTTCGACATTTTGACATAAGTAAAGTCATCTATACATAAAAATAACTATTCTTCTTTTGGGAGAGAGCGAATAATAGCTAAAAAACGGAATAATTTCGACTTCGGAGCTACGCACGCCACTCACCGAGTAACTCCCTTTAATATTAACTTATAAATTTCAAACTTGGCCGGAAATAAGAGTCTTATATACCAAACAATCGTACCGAAGGGAACTTTTATAGACTAATTAGGGGGCACATAATGAGCCGAAATAGATTTTGTTAATTAACCGGAATAAAGTTCTTTAAGCTATATATTCGAGGAAGCAACGTGTGGACCGTTGTGTGGTTGTTTGAGCCACGGGAAAAGAAGTTTGCAGACTCGGTGATCAGGGGTTCGGAACTGGTCACTGGTAAATTTTTAATTTTTTTCTATTTATTTTATTTTATTTTTTAAAAAAATATTATTCGACATTTCAACATGAATAAAGTCATCTATACATAAAAAAAACTATTCTTCTTTTGGATAAGAGCGAATAATAGCTAAAAAACGGAAACATTTCAACTCCGGAGCTACGTACATGACTCACAGAGTAACTCCCTTTAATATTAACATATAAATTTCCTACTCGGCCAGAAATGACAGTTTTATGTATGAAACAATCGTACCAGAAGGAATTTTTAGACACTAATTAGGAAGCACATAATGAGCTAAAAGAGATTTTGTTAACTAACCGGAATAAAGTTCTTTAAGCTGTATATTCGTTGAAGCAACGTGTACGCCGTATTATGGTTGTTAGAGCCACGGGTAGAGAAGTTTGTGGAGCCGGTGATCAGGGGTTTGGTCGTGGTCACGGATTAATTTTTAATTTTTTTTTATATTTATTTTATTTTATTTTTTTAAATTTATTTTTCGACATTTCAACATGAATGAAGTCCTCTATAATCATAAGAATGTAGTTTTATATGTGAAACAATCTTTCCAAAGGGAATTTTTATACACTAATTAGGGGGCACATAATGAGCCAAAATAGATTTTGTTAATTACCCGGAAAGAAGCATTTTAGGCTATATATTCGTGAAAGCAACGATAAATATCCTAATAAAATCCAAATATTTTTATGTTTAAACAGTTTGAAATTAGCGATAAGTCTTACAATTTTCAAAGTTTGAAGAACTTCAGAATTTCTCAAAGTTCAATCCTTGTGAAAACAATTCTAAGTACAAAAACTTTAAAATATTTCTGAGTACGAAAATCTTCAGAAATTTGTAAAGTCAATACAGCTTTAGAATATTACTTAGTCAGAAATACCTCCAAATATTTATTAGTAATTTTTGTAAGTCAAAACGGTTTGAAAATATTTCTAAGAGCAGAAAACATCATATTGTTCATAAAAACAGAAGTGATATGTTAAAGTGTTAAAACTGTCGGCGCTACGGCAGCGCAGTTGGTTAAGGCGTAGCACACACTGCCGCTTGAAGAGCTCAAAGTTAGTGAGTTCGAATCTGGTGTGTGTACGCAGAATGTGTCGTGACAGAAAGTCCACTATTGGTGGTGTTGAGTAGAGTGGTTTGTGGTGCTGTGTAGAGAGGTTTGTGGTGTTGTGAACAGAGGTTTGTGGTGTTGTGTAGAGAGGTATGCGCTGGTGGTGAAGTGGAAGTTGGGAGAGAGTATAGTCTGCTGGTTGTGAAATGGAAATTCAGAGAGCTGGGAGTTTTTTAAAACGTCTGTTTTTTAAAATAATACTTTTTTCTTTTTAATTTTACGACATTTATCAAATTAAATTTAATGAGTATAGGGCAGCACGCAAAACATCATATTATTAAAATAAAACCTTTTTTTAAAATTTATTTTCCACATTTTACATCAAAAAATTTCATGAGTAATTTCGTATAAACAACCATAATATTAAAATAATTAAGTTTTTTTTTGTATAATTATTACTATTACAGGTTTAAAAAAATTCTGTCATTCAGGGCTCCTGTAACCGGTACTAGGGAGTTTTAGGGAGTTTTAGCTCAGGGAGTATTAGGAAAACCGTTCCAAAATTTTAAACACAGCTCACTTAGTATTTTGTATTTTTGGAATATGTAATCGAAAACGTGTCCCCTCTCACAACGCTACGCCTATCATCTCATTACAGAGAGATTCCCTGATCAAGCTGAAATACAAATAACAAAAATTAGAGAAAGAAAACGCAAGGAACAAGATTTTAACTTAAACTTTCTCAACACTGATTGAATAATGTTAATTTAAAGGGGGGGGGTTGAATCTTTCAACGGAAACGAACTGACTCATGACTTTATGAAAACTACAAATTCATCATTATCGATCAATAGAAGAAAATTATATAAAGTAATCGTTCAGTAAGAATTAATATACTTTTAGTAAAGAAAAATAATTTTCAATTATATCAATAAAGTAATATATTATTATATTATTATATATTATTATATATTTATATATCTTTCACAAACTTTTTCTCTAAACTATATGTTGCTTTTAATATAATGTGCCTTGACATAAGTTTTTAGACGCTTTGTAGCCGTGGTGTGGTTGATAGAGCCAAGGGAAAAGAAGTTTGTTGTCGGAATTTTTCTAAGTACCGAAATCGTCTGAATTTTTCTAAGTACCCAAAAAGACAGAAATTTTCTAAGTACCGAAAAGGTCAGAATAATTCTATATCAAAACAACTTCTGAATATTTTCTAAGTACCGAAATCGTCAAAATTTTTCTAAGTACCGAAATCGTCACAATTTTTCTAAGCACCGAAAACGTCAGAAATTTTCTATGTCCAAACAAAACATTCAGAAGCTTTCGGAACTTAGAAAACTTCTGACGTTTTCTGAAATTAGAATATTTCTGACGTTTTCGGTACCTAGAAAAATTCTGTCGATTTCGGTCTTTAGAAAATTTCAGACGTTTTCGGTACTTAGAAAATTTCTGCCTTTTTCGGAACTTAGATCAAAGTTCCGAAATCGTCCAAATTTTTCGAAGTACCGAAATCATCAAAATTTTTCTAAGTTCCGAAAAAGGCAGAAATTTTCTAAGTACCGAAATCGTCGGAATTTTTCTAAGTACCGAAAAGGTCAGAAATTTTCTAAGTACCGAAGTACCGAAATCGTCACTAAGTACCGAAAACGTCAGAAATTTTCTAAGTACCGAGAACGCCAGAATTTTTCTAAGTAGCGAAATCATCCGAAATTTTCTAAGTACCGAAAATTTCTAGNCTAAGTACCGAAATCGTCCGAGTTTTTCTAAGTACCGAAAAGTTCAGAAATTTACTAAGTACCGAAAAGGTCAGAAAT